TGGTAGTGGTAGTGGTAGTGGTAGTGGTAGTGGTAGTAGTGGTAGTAGTGGTAGTAGAAGGAGGGGGGAGGGGAGGAGGAGTAGTGGTAGTAGCAGTAGTAGTGGTAGTGGTAGTAGTGGTAGTAGTGGTAGTAGAAGGAGGGGGGAGGGGAGGAGGAGTAGTGGTAGTAGCAGTAGTAGTGGTAGTGGTAGTAGTGGTAGTAGTGGTAGTAGAAGAGGAGCAGGAGGAGTAGTAGTAGTAGTAGTAGCAGCAGCAGGAGCAGTAGTAGTAGGAGTAGTTGGAGGATTGAAAATTCGATGTAGTAGTAGGAGTAGAAGGAGTAGTAGAAGTAGAAGGAGTCGTAAAAGGAGCAGTAGAAGGAGTAGGGAGAGGAGTAGGAGTAGGAATAGCGGTAGCAGTAGTAGTAGTAGTAGTAGTAGTAGTAGTAGTAGTAGTCGTAGTGGCAGTGGTAGTAGTGGTAGCAGTGGTAGCAGTGGTAGTAGGAGTAGGAGTAGGAGTAGGAGTAGGAGTAGGAGTAGGAGTAGGAGTGGGAGTAGCAGCAGCAGCAGCACTAGTAGTTGCAGCGCATAAGTAGCGGGAGTGAGTGGCAGTGGCCGGTTTTCATTACTTACAAGCTTCATCAGACTTGTTTATTGTGTTGTTTATATGTTGCAATGGCCCTTCTTTTGGCTACCCTGGCTATTGACGTCAGTGTTGCTGGTTTCGCATTGTTTTGTTACCCTTACCGTTATGTTGACTTATCTTGCTCATATGGTTATCACAATTGTGGCTACTGCTGCTGCGACTGTTGGTTGGTCTTGCTTCTTATTGCGAAGATTTCTATTTTTCGTCCGGGCCGTAATTTTTCGTACGGTAGTTGTACTTCTTACAGCCCGCTTAAAACTACCCGTGCTTATCAAAGCCTGCAATCTCAGTAAACCCATTGATCATTCCATAAAGCCATCCAGGATTCTCTGTAAAGCTTTCTGAGAAATCATAATCATAACAAACCGCAGTTGTTCGACTGCGGCTCCGAAGTGCGACGTCTTTTCGCTTCCGAGTTTTAGTTGTGTAAAAGTCACACATGCTAGCGTTTATAATCATATATTTATATATATACACATTTCCTATCTGTGCACTCATGTATACACATATAGATTGATGTAGTTATGAGCTGCATGTGTTTTACTTCATTTAAAGCTTCCTATATTTTAGCACGTTTTCTTGGTTACACAGCATCATTTTAGGGTCCATCCGCTACTTTGCTAGACGCTCCGTTGTTGCCGGTTGAAGGCGTAGGGCATTGTCGACATAATGGCTGACCGCGTTTGCTTAACAGTCCCTGCCGGTCAAAGGCTGGTGCACAAAATCCCATGCAACTGGGAAGAGGACAGTGGAGATGGCACTCTGATTTCTGTTGCTTTGGGCAGCTTGGATTGGAATGCGATTGTGCTTGACGAGAAGACGGTGGACTTGGAAGTTTGTGTGCTCCTGAAGTGCGAGGAAGGGAGCAGCGAGCCTCCAACGATGCATTGGCTACAACAGAAAGGTAGCGGTCGTACATTTCAGGGCCGCTTCGTCCCGTCGGAAGACTCCAACTTGCTTGAACAAGCTGGCAAGGGCACCACGATGGAAGAGATCATTTTCGAGTTCGACAACAGCTACAGCTGGTGGACCGACAAGCAGATCGAGCTCATCACGATTCGGTCTCGCTCTGAAGCGAACCCTCCGCCTTTGCCGCTACCTTCGCTTTCGCCGATGAGTCCGCCGCCACGTGCCTCGGACCCCTCCGGCAGTGAGGAAGTGCAGGGAGTCCCAGAGCTTCGCACTCCCAATGATGTAGCAGTGGATGAAAACACTGATGCTTCCAGGTTCATCTCGCAGTTAGACGCTTTTCTGGCAGTTGCAGAGGAGAAGTGTCAAAAGGATGACCTCCAACTCGCAAATGCTGAGGGGCTGCTAGCACAGGTACAACAGCTCCGACAGACCTGCCAGGACATGCTGCAGCCGGCAAGGGACACCGGCTCATCATGAGACTCCTGCTTTCTATAACTTCTCGGGCCAGACTCTTCGAAAAAAACCGAAGGGGGCATGGATGTCAACAGCTAGAGTCGGGTAGAGACGTGACGTGCAGCTAACCGCCAGCCCAAAATGCTGCAGCTTCCTGCCTTCTGCCATCAAGACACGGTCCAGTTAGTAGTTGCGAGCCCTAAACCCAAAGAGTTCCAATGGCCCGTCGGGAAACGAGAAACTTCCCTTTAGGGTTTAGGGTTTAGGGTTTAGGGTTTAGGCCACCGATCGACAATTTCTAGGTGGATACGGCCGGAGCTTATTTAATGTCGGAGCACGCAGCAGCTGCTGGCAATGTAGGAACCTGATGGAGAAACCCTGGCCCTATAACCCGATAAATAAGGACTCGTATAACGAACCCTAATAAGGAAACAGGGTTCCTTCATCAACTTCCTACACTAAGCCGCTCAAGTCATAGTCTCCTCAAATCGAATGGCGAAGCCTGAATATGCCCAAACTTGCAAGTTTCCATGAACGCGACATCGCCTGAATAAAGGCAGCAGAACTGCACACCAACCTTACCTATAACCCTTTCGAGCCAGCAAAGGACTAAGAGCTAAATCCAATATCCTACAACCCTGGGCAGAGGCATATTGGATCCCTAAATGGCTGGGTTCTAGGGCATATCGTGTACCCTAATTAGCCACAACATGGAACCCTACGCGTAAGACTATCCACTCAGGCTTCTATGAAAGAGCATAAAAACGTATGAAAGTTGCGTAACACCATGGGCCCCCCCAAAATGGACCAAGTCTTACAATCCCTTTGCTCCACCCACAAAGTGACAAGCACAACCGACACCCTGAACCTTAAAGCGACTGCCATGGCCCAAAGTCGGCTTGATGCGGCGCCCGTGGATCCTTGTTTCTGCTTTCGCGGCCCTCACCCTGAGGTGTGGGCGTCGGGTCTGATACACAAGCGCTTCCTTGATTCCTCCTAGCACTATCTTTCGAATTATGGGTTCGGACATTTTTGGCGTTGGGAACCAGAAGTGACTTCTACATTGGTATTCTGGGGGTCAGATTCTTGCCATCTACACTCCCAGACACTCCAAGATCCCTTAATTAAGGAATATACCTTAAATCATATTAAGGATCCTACTATAATTTAACGAATAGTCCTTAATGAAGGGTTTGTTGGGGTCTCGGGGTTGGAGAGTGACCGGAGATCCGACCGATGTGCCAACTAACAATCAGTCGGTGATGATCTGGGAGTTTCCGAAAATACGGAGTACCTTATTTTGGGTCTTTATACCTAGGATCCTACTATTTAGGGTGCTAGATTAGGGTCCCCTATTTCGGAAGCCCCCATCTGGGTTCTGCAGTACCGGATACTTGAATACTTTTTTGGGGACCTGTTCCTTAAGCGAACCATTATGAAATCAAAGTTTATACTTTTTCTCCTTGCTTACTTCAAAGTCTAGTGATGGTGTGGTTATAAGCACCTGGGTTGGGCTTAAAAGTAGTTGTTAGTATAGTTACTTCATGATACCCCCAGTTACGAAGTCCCATGATCCTGTAAGTGATGATGCAGGAAGCCGAAGAAAAAGTCTGACCCAGCCCGATGCAGACGACCAGAAACCAACAACGCCTCCTTGTCCCAGAGGAAGATCTTCACAAATCCAGGTGCATGGGTTTAGGGTTTAGGGGTTAGGGGTTAGGGGTTTAGGGTTTAGGGTTCAGGGTTTAGGGGTTGAGGGTTGAGGGTATACCATCAAATCATTGCGAGTTATTGCCGAGTGCCACATCTCGAAACCGTTCTGGTAAGGTGCTTCGTGTCGCCTACGAGCCTGGGAAAACCAAGAACTGTGCGTGTGTCAACGGCAGCAAGGACGACGGTCGGTCGTCGGTTTAGGGTGTGTGTTATGTGGGTAGTTCTGTAAATTAGGGTCCCTTTTAGGGTCCATCTTAAAAGGGTGCCGTACTATATTGGGGGCCTAAAAAGGGACCCTAGTTTAGACAACTACCCATGTATTTTGTTGTTACAAAAGTGTTTTGCGGTTCCCTCCGTGGTCGTCTTTTAGGTTTTCTGGCTCCTTGGAGACGCCGAACCTGAGACTTCTGCTTCGCACTGGTGGTGTCTTGATGTCTTCTTTAGGGTTTAGGGTTTAGGGTTTGTGGAGCATGTAAGTGGCGCAGAAAAGAGAAGCAGTAATAGGGAAGAGCCCTTGCTAATGCTGGGACTACGCAACCTGCATCAGAATTCACCGTAATAGAATACAACATAACATCATATTGCAATATAACATCATATCATAAACCCTAAACCCTAAACCCTCATAATATCACATGTTGTTTGTTCACAGTTTGGGGGGTCTGGTCGGTCCAGAGGTCTTCCCACTCGGAGACAGCCGAGGAGTGCGACCCAACCCGAGCCGAAACGGTAAATCCCGGACTTAGCCTAAACTCAAGTCCCAGAAAAGTTGAGGGTTTAGGGTTGATACCCTAAGATCTAGAAAGCCTATACGGCAAGTCGTAAGGAGGAAAAAACTTTTTTGAATCCAAAAGCTGCATGAGGCAATAATCTTACAAATTCCTTTTCGCCTACTTTCGCTTACATCCCTAAACCCCTGAAGCCCTAAACCCTGCGCCTTAGAACCCTAAAGCCCTAAACGCTCAAACACCAAAATCCCCCAGCGAGGACCTCCCAGTGGCGTGCCGCCTTGGAAGGCATTCTTCGGTCCGGAAGATCAGCAGAGAAACAGTGGCGACTTGGCACAGGGGCTTTTGGGTAGGGTCCAGGGTTTAGGGTGTAGGGCTTAGG